GACACGCGCGCCTCGTGATCCGGCTCTCGGCCTGCGTCTGAGGAAGCCGGAAGCCGCGGCGGTCGCCGGCACGGGCTGGGGTTGGAGGGGCGGCTGTCAGTGTCTTGGGGTTTGTGAACCCCGCGATGGATCCTGACGTGACAGTCGCGCAGCGGAGGCCGTTGCTCTTGCCGCGGCTGCTGCTGGTGCCGCTGCTGTTGTCGGGGCTGGCTCTGGGCAAGCTTCCCTGGGGCAGCAGCCCCCACAGGGTCCTCTACGACTTCCTGTCCGAGCAGCAGTTGCTGGAGGTAGAGGATTTGTCTCTGACTCTGCTGCAGCGGGGAAGGCTGGGGCCGCTCTCGCTACCCCCGGACCTGCCGGATCTGGATCCCGAGTGCCGGGAGCTGTTGCTGGACTTCGCCAATAGCAGCGCAGAGCTGACCGGGTGTCTGGTGCGCGGCGCCCGGCCGGTGCGCCTATGTCAGACCTGCTACCCCCTCTTCCAACAGGTCGCCAACAAGATGGACAACATCAGTCGAGCCGTGGGGGTGGGTAGAGAAGCACACCCGGGACCTCTGGCGTGGAGGGTTGGGAAAGGAGGTGCATGTAATCATGGTTAACTGTGGGGGCCTCAGTTTCCCCATCTGTAAGATAAAGGGGTTTGACTAGGACTGTAGAATTTGGGGCATCAGGAAAGTGGGTGGCATTATAGGGCTTGGGGTTTGAATTTTTGCTTTCATGGCTGCTGTTGGGCGTCTTCTTGGTAATATTTGCAGATAGATATGACTAGTTTTCTTGGGGCTCTTCCCCCCCAATCCTATATTTCCTTCCCCTCCTTTATCCCCTCCCCCAGACTTCACCATAGCTTCTTCCCATTTCCACCTGGAGTTTCCAGGAAGGATCCTTTACTGAAACCCCACCCAAGTGGAGTGGGGAAACTATAGTGTTAGTGATTAGTAGCTTGAGCTTTGTAGCCAGAAATGTTAGATCCACCACTTTGTAGCAGTTTGACCTTGGATTATTTTAGTCTTAGTTTTCTCCTCTTGTTAGCAGTATACTCTGGACAAGGTACATTCTGTTTGTTTTCTCATCTCTAAGATGGAGATAAAAGGAACAATAAAAAAACTAGCACATCGTAATAGTTCTCAGTAACTGGAAGCTAAAATTTTAGGAAACAGTGAATCTGTCCCCCATTCTTGGTACGCTCAGAGCTTTTCTGGTCATGTGGTAGGTGCTATGAGGGACTTTAAAAAAAAAAAAAAAAAGACACAGAAGATATGTCCCTGCTGGAAAGAACCTTATAGGGTCTAGAGTAGGAAGGGTTTAAGTGTGTTAGGGCTGGTGGGAGTCACAAGGTGTGGGCCAGTATTCCTTGTAAAGGAAAAACATGAGGAATGACTTTGGGATTGAGGAGTGGGAAAGTTCTTGTGTTGAGAGCACAAGTAGTCTCATAAAAATGTGGTTGGAATTATTTCATAAATTATAGTTGATTTACAAAATATAGACTTGTATGTAGTTCCATCCTGGTTTAAGTCTGTCTGCTAAGACTTAGTATAAATCTCTCTTTTAATTTGTGTTAGATAAATCCTGTGGTCAGTCTTTCTGTAAAGAGCTGGTTTTCAAGGTAGTTTAAATAAATTTAGGCTTACAGGCAGCATTTTTCAGGCATACTTCTACTGGTATAACAAGGGGAAATGTGTACATATCTCACTATGATTTTAAAATAAGCCCCCAAGACTTGACCCTGTCAAATATAGCAGAGTATGATATGGCATCATATTCTGTTTTGCACAAAGGTAAATTGTTTGGTGGACAGAAAGACTGAATCATGATGCAAAGCTTGGATGTTATGAGGCAGAAAATGCTTTTCTCATTTATATAGATACTGTGGAATTAGGAAGAGGTTAAAAAAATACCACAAACTCTAGTGGTACAGCATTATGGGCATCACCCAATCTGTGTATGAATTTCCACATGAATTCTCCTTCTCAGTGTTGGGGTGGCTGAAACTTCCTTCTCCTTTGTGTCTCTCAGATTCTACCAGTGGTCTGGGCCCTGGATTGCCTCACCCTTGTGTGAGAGGAAGAGGGTAAAGAGAAAAAGAGGCAGAAAAACCCTTTCCTCAATCTGCATTTCCTCTTCAACACATCCTTAGACTTTGGTTTCTTTTCCCTCCTTTTCTCAGAGCTGCATGTGGTATATTAGTTTAAAGGCATGATTTCTACAGTTCTAAGGTACTTCATGGATTTAATAGGCTTTTTTGGATTGGTTTGGGAATTGAACTGTCATGTGTAATAATGAACACATGGAAAAGTGTGTTCTGAGTTTCTTAGGAGTGAATTTGAAGGACTCAGTTGTCATTTTTGGTGTGGATTGGGAGTTATTTTTGAGAGTAATATATTTTCTTTGACTCACTTAGATTTACTCTTTCATTTAAATCAGTTTAATCAGAAAGCACATGCTGTTCTTAAATATCGGGCTGGTAAAAAGATGCAGAAGGAAAAGGAGGTTTAAGTCCAGGCCTCAAACTTTCAGTGTAGTTGGGGAAATAGAATAAACCTATATTGAGAAAAGAGAAATAGGAAAAAAAATGATCAATGTCAATGTGAATGTGTAAATTGTATAATAGCAAGTAGAGCAAAAGGGTGAAGGAGATGCAGAATTAAAAGAGGGCACAGAGCAAGGTGAGGTTAATCAGAGAAAGCCTATAAGCTGAATTTTGAACAAAACATACTTTCTTACCTCCTTAGGGTGAATTCATGTCCATTGATTGAGAGAAGAAGGGAATATAACAAGGAGAAAAAGAATCAAGGGTAGAAATTAGCAAGCTATTTCTGTGGTACAGCAAGCTAATTCATTTAACTGTAATAGAATTATCTGAGAATTCTATTATCACTTTCTCTTGGACTTACTGGGACAAGGATCACATATGTTTTATTATCTCGAGGTAAAGAATACAGTGATTTGTGGAACCTGAATGTAGACCTAATGGATTCCCCTTTCCTTAGAATCATACTTTCTTCTTTTAGTTTAAACTGATAGGGATATGGTTTCATTGAGCTGTTCAGCGTCATCAGAGTTGTTGTCAGGATGCTTTGGCCCTGCAAATACAGGAGAGAGTGGAAAATGCAAACAAGGTCAGTTTTCCTGAGAAAGCAGAGTAGATGAGATCTAGGGCATCTATAGAGAGAGGAGCCTTTGACTTTCTGTAACAGGAAGGTAGAGGGAGAGATTGGATATAGAGGTAGGCAGATCACAGTTTCACTTCGCTTCTGATTTCACTGTCTATTAGGAGGCTTGATCTTTTCTTGAGAGTAAAGGGTGAGAAGGATATCAGAGTTTCAGGGAGAGTTGAGAAGATTGGAATAGTGTTTCTAAAGAGAGAAGAATGAGCTGACAGGAAAGTGAGGAGTGCAGTTTGAGATTATCGATTTATTGTGGAAATACTCTGCTTGTTTGTTCACTTTTGCCAAACAGGCATGCTGAAAGTTGGGTCCATTGTGGTTAGGGTTCTGCTAAGTGGTTATGACAGATTTGATTAGTAAGAATTCTAAATATAAACCAAAGACCATTGCTTTTTGGTTATATACTAGGTGTTGGGAATATAAGTATATAAGACAGTTTTCGTCTGGAACCTAGGCATATATATAGGTGGATATCATGTATTAAGAAACTGAGCCTCAGAGTGATTAAGGAACTTATCCAAGGTCATGTAGTGGAAAAGGCTAGATTTGAATCCAGAACGATACTACGACCTATTTCATATAGTCGTTATAAGAATTAAATGAGTTATGCATTTGGAGCATTTGGAACTGTTAGGTACTCGATGAGTACATTGTCATTGGGATTATTCATCACTCCCCTTCTATTTTCACCATTGCCACCATCTTTTCATCATATCCGAACTATGGAAATGGTCTAATTATTTTCTGCCTCCTCACCCTACATATTGTGATCTAGATATAAGTTCCCCGAACTCTGCTTTTTATGTCATTCTCCTCAAAAATCTTAAAAAGTTTTCCACTGTCTGACTCTCATGGCCTCAAGACTCTTCATAACTTTGCCTAACTTCTCCCTCTGTAATGTCTCTACTTTCACAGAGGTACCCTCCATTCTAGCTGTATTGGCCTAATGAACACCCCTTGAATACCACGTAATCATTCCTACTTTCACCCACTGATAATTTTATTCTCCCATTTTAGAATCCTCTTCCCTTTCTCAGTATAGGGCTTAGTTTAAATCTTGCTACTTCTGTCTGAACTCTTCACAATTTCCCCCAACTATACTGATGTCTTCTTCAACTGAACTGTTTCACTCATTGACCACTCATACAGGCTATGCTGTATATTGATTTTTTAAATAGCCAGTCATAAGCTTATGAAGATTCAACTTAAATAACTGATTACATTTAGCCAAGTACACTCACTTAGGGTACTTGAGATTGGCTGCAGGGTAGCTGGGTGAAATGGCATATATCAGTTACTAGGTACCAGAAGTTGTGCTAAGTGATTAACATATGTTACTTTCTTTTAATACTGTACCGATAAGACTCATGATTATGAAATTGAACCTCAGAGAAGTTACCTCAGCTGCCCAAAATTACCAGCTAGTGACCGAGACTTGGCTGACTCTTAGGCCATGCTTTGATATTTAAGAAGTGATAATAGAAAATTTCATCTGTGACCGATATTGCTCTGAAAGCAATTCCAAGAAAGAGACTTTTAGAATGTTTTTTTCAGTTCACTATTTTAAAAGCAAACATTCATTTGGATGTATCTTTTAATGAGATGACAAAACTAAGCCACTGAGAAGGTAACCATCCTATGAACATTAGAAATTTTAAAGCAAGAATTCTGCCAGTAAGTCTTCCCCCCTTCCTTTTCTCACCCCACATGGCCGATCACTTCTAGAGTTATCACTTTCTCTTTTATTGCTCATCGCTATTTAATTCCTTATCTTCATGTGTCTGGGGAGGTTCTTGAAGCCCCAGTGTTGATAGCCATACTTTATAGTTTTTGTATCTTCAAAACTCCAGGATTCTTATAGTGCCTGGTAAGTAGTAGGTTTTAATTAACTTCAAAAGAATAAAGTGTCAGCAGGACTTAGTTCCTTGCTTGGGGCAAAAGGGAAAGGAAATAGACAAGGATCAAATAATTTAGGAACTTGGATTTATTATTTGCATAGCATGAATTTCATTATTAAAATGATCTGTGGAAAGCATATTCTATTTGTGTACAAACTATTTGGGTACAAACTGGATGTTTCGCATTTTCTTAAGTATTATAAGATTTTGAACCAAAAATTGCTTAGAAGATGAAATTAAATGTTTTATGATCATTTACCCACCAGATTTTAAAAATCAGGTAAATAGCATATGTTCATTGTAGAAAATTTTAAAGTTATGTAAAAGAGGCAAAAAAAGAAAAGAAAAATCACCATATTTCCATTATTCAGATATAACCACTGCTACATTTTGGTGATTAGCTTTTTAGGATTTTTTTCTATACCTAAAAAGTAAGAAATAACAACATGCAATTGGGCTAAAGTTGTTGAGATTCTACTATAGGAGCAAGTACTTAAGAAGCAAAATTTTCTTCCCTTGTAAGTAAACCTGGAATCAATAAGTGTTAGCTTTTGTTTTATTGTTATTGGCATCATTATTTGATTATATCCAACGAAATGTTAAAATGCTTAGCATCAATATTTTAATTATTTTTAAAAGTTTTTTTTTTTTTTTTTTTGCTTTAAGTTGTTTGGGAACTTTTTATACTGATTGTATTTTTTTTTAATCTTCTTTTTGGTTACAGAATACTTCAGAGAGTCTTAGTTGTGCCAGAAGTCTCTTAATGGCAGATAGAATGCAAATAGTTGTGATTCTGTCTGAGTTTTTTAATTCCACATGGCAGAAGGCAAATTGTGCAAGTAAGTAATTTTTTCATTTTCATGATGCAGTTATGCTTTAATAGCATAGATGTCAGAGTTTATTTTAATGAATTTTGAAGTGTTTGAATCAATATAATACTGTATATTACTATGTTTAAATGAACCGTGATTAGCCTCATGGTTTATTAGTGGGAACTACTTGGGCAAGTTTTGAAAGGCAGAGAAGTGCAGTAGTTAACAACATGAGCTTTGCAGTCAGAGAGATCTGGATTTAATTATAAGATTTGCCACTTACTAGCCCTAACTTACTGGTTGTAAGACCTTGAGTAAGTAACTTTGCCTCTTGGAACTTCAGTGTCCTCATTTGTAAATTAGTGGTAATAATGGAACCTGCCTTATACAATTGTTTTGAGAATTAAAGGAAATAAATTGTGTAAAGGTACTTAACTCAGTATGTAGCACATAGTTAAATGTTCTAATAATTCTGACATTTATAATCTGTCAAATGGTGGTAGGAGAGGTGATAACATCTATCAGTTTTGCAGGTTTGTATGTATTTACATAGTAAAATGAGATCTATTTTCAGGCATTCTTTGGAAAAATTAAAATCAGTATTTCAATTCAGAAGTGTTTTGAGTACCAACTATTTATTTATAGGCAGTTCTTGTTTTCTGTGCCTTATAATTTAGTGAGGGAGAAAGTTATATTTATAATACAACTTAAGGCAGACAAATAAATGCTTTAATAAAGTTATAGAGTCCTTGGGGGAAGTAGAAAATAAATTGGGGAGAATTTGAAATGACTTCCCGGAGGAAGTACCTTTTCATTGTACACCTATATGGTTGGGCATGATTTCAATAAGTAGAGATGAAAGGAAGGACATTACAGATAGAGAGGCATCATGGACAGAGGCACAGAGGTATAAAAGAGTAGAAGATGTTCCAGGGTCCTGGAAGCACATGGGGAGATAAAATTGGAAAGGGAAAGTAGGACCTTGACTGACTGATCTGGTAGTTTCTCTCTTATCCCAACATTTTTCGTGCTGCTTAGAACACCAGCATATTATTAAAAATGTTTATGTACTATAATATCTTAGTGGTTTATAATATACATGGAATATTAAAGGCAATGAGAAGTACTGCAGGTTAGAAAAAAAACTTTTTTTTTTTAACATCGTTTAACCTAGCTCTTTTCAAGTTTTCTTTTTTAACTACAAAGATCTTCCCCCTTTTTTTTTTTCATGGAACCCCATTGGAAGAGGAAGAGAGACCTGTGAGGAAGTTATTACAATAGTTTATGCAAGAAGCAAAGAAAATATGAAGTGGGGCGTGGGCTGTGGAAGTAGAAAGGACAGGATGGGTTAAGAAATCTCTAAATCACGTCATTAAGGAGTTTAACTTTCTGAGAGTTTAACTTTTCTAAGGATTCGTGTTTTTATTTAGTTCATGTAAAGAAAAACTGTAAATGGGAAAAAGACCCCCTGTGAAGTTTCTTTTCCATTGCAATATACCATGTTTATTGAATAGTGATTCCCTAAATTTTGTCTCTATTAATTCACATTTTCTGTTAATTTGAATAGAAACTTGGTGGACAGTTAACTTTTTTAAAAAGCAAAATCATTGTGGTTCTTTTTTGGAGTAAAAATTTCCATATAAATGTATAACAGTAAATTATAAATGTGATCGAATAGAGTTTGTTTAACCTATCTAGGAGAGCTGTTTTTAAATATTCTTAAGCCCTTTTGAAAAATCCACTGATAACAAAAAAAAATGTTAATTACAAATAATTTAAAATCAGTTAATTAGAGTAAGTGGAATATGTATTAGAGTTTACTTCTTTTAACTAATATGACTTTGTATATTTGAGAGGTAAGGTATCTTTAAAAGGTATTTTGTAATGAAGACTTCATTAATTCAAAGTAGCTTTCTTCAGTTATTAAAAAACATTTTACTACATATTTACTCAATAGTCTGAAAAGTATTTACTCAATATTCTTTAGAATAATTTCTTAGGGTACCTTGTTTTTTTTTTTTTGTGAGATATTCTGTCTTGAAAATATTCTTTGATTGAATTTCTTCTGAACAAATGAAATGCTTACTTCCCAATTAAAATTAATTCGTCCAAGACTTATGGTCAAGTGAAAGAAGCAAGGTGCAGAGAAGTTATGACACTTTTTTAGGGAATTAGACAGGTGAGTGGGCAGGAAAGAAAAGATTTAGTTTTCATTCTACTTACCTTCTTACCCTTGAATTTTATGCCATATGCATTTAATACCTATTCAAAAATGTGTAAAATTTAAAAATTATCAGAATGTCCAAATCTAGGGTTAGTATTTATATAGTAGATGTAATAAAAGAGCTGAGCTATTTTCTTTTCCAGAATTATGCATTAAAAAATTATCTTCCTTATGTCGTTTCATTCACATTTAAAATTTTTATCATAATTTATATTCTGTATTTTAAATGGAAATAAAATAGTTCTATCAATTTGTACTTCTTAGTTGTTTTCTCTTGGGCATTCTAAAATAGTCCTCTAAACTACATTAGAATAATCTTTACGAAATTATCTGGGAACACTTCTAATTATGTTCTCTGCAAAATCTATTTAATAAAGATAATGTGAACATTTAAAAAAAATTTAAAGAATTGTTCAAATATTTTAAAATTTTTACCAAAATTTAATAATTTTAAATTTTAATAATTTGTTTCTCTTCAGCAACATGGTCTTCTCTTACAAAGTAGAGAGCAAAGAAATTTGTAGGAAGGAAAAAATGAGGAACTAAAAGAAGGTAACAATTTATCAATTAAATTGAATAATATTTCATAGCCCTTGTCTTACTTGAGTTTCACAATAAGCCCTATAGGGCAGAATGAGGGCTCAGAGAATGTAAATGAACTACAGATCAGGAGTCTAGTAAATTCAAAAAGCTTTAAGATTGTTCATCTGAATGGACAGTGTTCATGAGTTAATGCCTAATTTTGTTTTTTGTTTTTTTAAATTCTGTTTGACACATTCATTTTAAGAAATACAAATGCACTTAAATTAACCCTACAGAAGTTTAATATTTATGTTACATACATGTTTGATATTATGGAAAACCTAATCTTTTACTAAAAATATAAATGTAAAACTTTTTTCCGTAAAAACCAATTAGTACTACATAAAATTAAAACTAGATAATGTGAAAACACATTTTTAGTAGAGTTGCACATTTTCTAATGTTAACCCTCCGCAATGATTAGGTTCTGATGCACTTATATCTCTCACGACCAGATCTCTTAAACCACTAATTTCATAGGGTCCCCATTCTTTTATTTTATTGATGAATGATGCTAAAGCCTCCTCCTTACCTTTGCACTTAAAATAAATTTCTTACCTAACCAATCATTGTTTATTAAATCATTGGCCTATAGAAATATGTAAAAGAATACAAGGGATATTTACTCTTTTATAAAATGGAAGACAATTATATCACAGTATAATTTTAAACAAATTGTTCCCCATCAGAAGTTTGCCTAGGATGTTGTCATTTCATATTGTAGGAGGGCAGAATATACCCCAAAATATGACTGTAGGAGACTAGAATATGCCACCCCAAAACATGCCTTTTTGGCATAAGAATTATTTTGAGCTAATTGTTTTGAGAAATAGCAGACACATGAGAAGCTCTGAAAATGATAGAAGTAACATTTTGTAAGGGAAATTTATATTTATAAAGGGGATCTTCATTTGTAAGAGTGTCTTCCTCTCTGTATCAGAAAGAAGATGACTCTAAATCGCAAGAAAATCTTATAAATGGAGAAGGCAAGGATGTAAATCTGTATAACAAACCTTACACTTGTGTACCATCTTTTCCTTGTCACTTCCCCATAATTGGTTTTCCCCACACCCTTTCTTTGTTTTTAGCTGAAAATTTAAGCCTGAATTCTAAGCTACCTCTTTGAGTTACTCATTTTCCTATATATCTTCCATGTGTATAGAAGATACACAAGTTAATAAACTTCTCTTTTTCTCCTGTTCTGTCTTTTAAGAGCTGCAGCTGAGAACTTAGAAGGGTAGACGGTAAATTATTTTTTTCCTCCCCTACAGTATATACATGAAAATAAGAATATAAATATTAAAGAAAAAATTTCTGGATTATTTGCCTTTTTATTTAAGCACAAAAAAAGACTAATCGGTTGTCTTGGAACTTAAACACAAGCCACTAATCCATTTGTCTGAGTTACCTTTTTGAGATGATCTAGTTGTTAAATTTGCAAATACGTAGCTGCTAAGTGATGCCCTCAATAAAGATCTTTAATAGTAAATAATATGGAATCCTTTCAGTTTGGCACCTAAAAGCTACAGTGAGAATGGAAAAAATTATAAAGGAAGACCAAAAACTGCTGATGTATTTTAAAAATCGGTTTTAAACTGAGACATATCAATAAGTGACCCATTTTGTAGGCTATTTCTTTCAATATAAAATGACTATTCCTTTTTCATCCTCTATGCTAGGAAATGAAAAACTATAATTATATGAGTAAAAATCTTTTAAAATAAATTTAAGGGGCTATTAGAATTTGAAATAAAGAATATTATTAAAAATACAAAAATGTAATAAAACATACAAGCTAAATATCATTTAAAAGAACATTATTATTAAAAAGTAACACACTGCCAAAACCACCTTTTCTTTCTACTTGATCTAGGTGTAGGTTGGCGTCTAATCTCTGCTGTTGTTGAAAGGAAGTTGGTGAAAGGAAGGCTAGAAACTAAATAAGGAGAGAGTGTCATCCATGTATCACTCTCATCTCTTATCTTTAGAATTCCTGTATCTTTGAATGATATCAGTCTTGGTTGGAAATGAGTTTTTGGAAACTTACAGAGACTCAAAAGAAGTGTTAAGAGCTTAACTCTTCTAATTCACATTACAAATAACATGGAACCTAGTTCTTGTGGAAAATGACTGCTAAGAAGTAAAGAAGCTATATTAGAGATTGCTCCTGTACAGAATTTTAAAGCTGCTATCAGAAGTGTATTGTGGACATAAGGATAGTCTTGTTATTGAGATGCTTCTTGGTTATCTCATGCATATGACAGTTGAATAACTAGCTGAGTGACCAAATTTGATGAGACTATGGATTGTTTTATGGTAAAGTGTTTTGGTTCTTTGTTTTTTTCTTTTTTAACTTTATTGAGATATAATTGACATAATATTGTATAAATTTAAGGTATATAATGTGTTGATTTGATACACTTACATATTGTAAAATGATTAGCACTATAGTGTTAGGTATCACCTCCATCTGTCACGTAATTACCATTTCTTTTTTGTGGTGAGAACATTTAAGATTTACTTTCTTAGCAACTTTCAAGTACATAATATAGTATTACTAACTATAATCACCATGCCATACATTAGATCCCCAGAACTACTCATCTTATAAGTGGAGGTTTGTATCCTTTAACCAGTACCTCCCCATTTCCCCAACCCTGCAGCCCCTGGCAATCACCATTCTTCTCTGTTTCTGTGAGTTCAGCTCACAGTTGACTATATATGTGAAGGTTTATTTCTGGACTCTTGATTCTGTTCCATTGGTCTCCTTTCCTGTGATGAGTCAGTCTTCCCTAGTTGATGAAACTCCTGGGGAAGGGCTTTGTGATAATTTATTTTGGAGGATTTGTCTTTAGGCAGATAAGGGGAATTCACAGAAAGCTTCTCTCTACATCTGCTTTTTTTCAAGTGCCTTCAGCTCAAAATAATCCTTATGGCAAAGAGGCGTATTTTAGAAAGGCATATTCTGCTACCTCTCACTTGCATCTTGATTCTTTAAAAATCAGTAATAAAACTTATGGTTAACCAGAGGTCAATTACTATAACTCCTCTTTTCCATATTTTATCTACAAGGTAATATACCGTGTTAGTCATTTATATCTTATAATTTAAAATGTTTTAGTTTTCCTACTTATTAAACAACTATGTTGTTCAGGTACAAAGTTCTCACAGTTTATACTATGTTTTCTGAAGCTTGCCCTATTTTTCAGAAGTCAGTGTTTGTCTCTGTTGTTTTCTATAAAACTAGTTTTGAAAAACAGCAGAGGTCTTAATACAAACTCCTAACAGATGCCAAATACTTTATCTAAAGATGCATAATTCCTGTTATGGTAATTCAGTAGGTTTCTATGTATGGTCTTGACTTGAATCCTTAACACCTTCGAGAATGCCCCTTGAGCTGATGCTTGAGCCCTCAACTGAGAAAGAAGATATGCTAATCTGTCCTTGATGAGGCTCCATTGATTATCTGAGATGAGGAAAATTCATAATGACTACTTCACTTAGTGCTTAAAGGAAGCTTTCTTATTATTAGTATTCTTTAACTTACTAATTTCTAAAATATATAACTTCTCACTGCTTATAACCTCATGCTCTCAATTCCTGCAAAAAGATAAAAGAACTTTACTGGAGTTCCTTTGTTTTAAATCAGAAAGTCAGGGCTCTTTAATAATGAAGACACTTTTAGTCCCATTATATAAATGAACTCCTTTATACTTTATAATACCATCGTTTAATGATCATTGAAAAAATTTTGATGGTACTACATTAATGCAGTATATAACAAGATGACCAGTCTATATAACTGCCTTTTAGTTTAATTTTCAAATTATTTTAAGTGAAAAGGAATGACTGTCTATAAAATAGAAGAGATTAAAGTGTTCAGAGAAACTTTCTTTGTAAATTACTTTTTTTTTGTTTTTTACAATTCTATAAATTATTTCTTTAAAAAAGGAAATGATTTTAATTCCATACTTTGTATAGAAGGAATTGCCATTGCTCTCTCATGTTCATGTACTTTATACTACTTTTTTAGGCAACTCAGGGACACACACACACAGATATCCATTTATCCCTATATTGTGTATGTCAGTTGCCATGACATGGCTCGTTATAACACAGATGTAAAATTGTCATGGATGAAATTGTATTTCCTGTATTTCCCTGCAAAATTTCAACTACAAAAACTGAACACCCATTCAATTTTGTTAGCCCAGTATACTAATATTCTGCATATTTGTAATCGTGTTTCTTTTTATTTGTATATACTCTATCTCATGCATGAAAGGGCTTTTATTGTTAAACCAGGATTTAGAGGAGCTTATGATACATTTTTGTAAAAAGAAATTTAATGTGTAAATTTTTTGAAAGCTAACGCATGGAGTAACATTTTTTAAATAGTAAAGAAAAAATAGTATAATTGAGAAAATACTTAATTGAGAGCCTGGGAAGTATATTTTGTATTTCCATGCCTTACTAACTTGATGTACAATCTTCAGTATATTGCTTTATTTTCCTGGCTGTTTGCTACTTCGGGAAGTGATCCCTCAAATTTTTAAATGATGAGGGAAACAGAATGGGACTTACTACATTCTTGAGAAGATAAAGCTGCAGAGAATGTAGAGTATATGAGTTCAGAGAGAGAAAAGATTCTAGAAATAGGTTCATTAGCAGGGCCCCTTGTATACCAGGTGCAGACCAAGCCCTGCATTTAGGGGCCTGTGTGACGGGTGAATGGGGCTGAATTCCAGCTCAGCCTCTAGAAGGGGAGTGTCTTTTTATAATTAATTTACCCAGAGGGGATATCTTTTTTTTTTTTTTTAATTTGCACAAAGGAGTCTTAATGTGCTGTTGCTGCCCTGTTCATCAGGTTTAGGTTTCATCTCAGTTGCCAACAACTGATCAGTTGATAGTGAATGCTTGAATCCCTGTGTGTCAGGTATCTATGGGTAGTGGAGGGAGGAGTGGTGGCATGTATTTGTTTACTCTGACTATTGAACTTTAATGGTTTAGAACGTAGATGTGAATATTTAATTTATTTTGTGTGTTTGAAAGTGCAGGCTCAGGAATCAGACTGTGTAGAAACTCCAAGGTTTTACTTAACGGTTTTGTGACCTTGGGGAACTTCCTTAATTCCACTAAGCTTCTGTTTCTTATTTAGAAACTGGAAACAATGGTAGTTCTTGCCTTATAGGATTGTTGTAAGAGTTAAATGAGTAAATGTGTTTAAAATACAAGCATAGTGCTTGGAACATAGGTTCTCAGTTAATGTTAGCTTTCATTGTAGTGATAGTTTTTCCTAGTACTTGCATACCTCATAGTGTGTCATATCCTAATGTCTGCTGTAGGGGAGGAAAAAACATCTTTTTCTTCTGCTTGTTTTAGGTTTTCTGGACAGGACTGTATAAATTAGACTGGCCAAAGACAGATTAACAAGAGAAACAAAAAACAAAAGTTTATTAACATATGTGTTATACATGTACACATGAGAGCACCCAATGATGAGTAACCCACGGGGATTTGGGGCTTATATTACCATTTTAAGCTAATCAAAGGAAAAGGGATTTGGGGCTTCTGGGTAGAGGAGGCAAGTTATGGGAAGGTGACCAGGAAAAGTATGGTAAACAAGGATCGTATAGTGAGGTTCGTTATGGAAATTTAAGTCAGTACCTTCTCTATTGATAAGTTATTAAGAGTTCTCTTCCTGATGTGGGAGAGAGAGATATCTTTACACACTGAAATGTCCTTTATAAATATAAATTTTATTTACAAAACGAAAACTTGTGCCCCGTTTTTAGAGCTTGTCTTGCATTTGTGGGTTCTCAGTGGCCTTTGGCTCAAAATAATCCATGTAATAAAGAACTGTATTTTGAGGTGGCGTATTCTGGTTCCCTGCACTGCCTATTCAGTCTCTTTTATCCATTGAATTCTTGTTATCTGCATTGCCACCTTACTCCTGGATAATTGGAGTAGCGCCCAATCCTGTCTCTCCACTCCCAGTTGAGAGAGATCATATTAGATGATCCTGGGTGAGTACAATATACAGCTATCAGTTGAAATGAAGGGGGACAAGAATGGAGTTGAGCACTACAGTGTAGAAACTATTTGGAATATTCTTTGTGGAGAAATTGGTAGGGCATCTCTAAGGATTGTTTTGTGGCCTTGAGATTAGAATTTGAATGGAGTCCCTTCATTATAACTTTAGAATTTTCTAAAATAATGTTCTACAACTGGAATTGTGGTAGAGAAAGTAAATGGAATCTGTCCAGGGTTGGAAATGTTTGTGAGTATGTAGAACATAAAGAAGATAAGATCCTAGGAGAGTAAGACTGAAATACCTGACCAGGAGTTCCAGGATATGAAGCCAGGCTCTTGAACCTAGGTCTAAGAGAGAAAGCTGAGAACACAGGGAGAGGTAAAAGCAAAGTGACAGTAAAGAATAGGTTCATAAGAGAAGCGAGAGTAAATAAATAAATTGTACTGTATTTATACATAGAAAACAAAAAGAATGAACTTGAGCAAATGGTAAGCAAGAGTAGCAAGTTGCAGAGCAATATCATTTATGTAAGATTTTCAGAAACATAAAACAATTGTACTTATTTTCAGACTTTACTCGAAACCTCTTTATCATTATTTTAGGCAGAATGTTCACTAGCTTGTTTCTTGTCTCCCAATTCACAATAGATTAGAAGGAGCATGTGACAAAAAGTTACCCTGTTAGACAATAAATGACCCAATAAATGACCCACTGGTGAAGATGGAAGAGACACAGAAGTATTGAATTTGACACAGAAAAGGATCAGAAAGCATATGAATTTAGGTAAAATTAATGCAGGATATACATTTTTATGCTGAAACAGCACCGAACTCCCCTATTAAGGCAGCATTTGATAACTGATGTTCATGATTAAGACTTTGCACCATCAAAAATCAATTTAAATTTTATTTTGTATATTGTTTTTATAAAGAAAGGAGAGTATATGATTATTTTAAGATTTTCATTAAAATGGTTTGATGTAAGAAAAATTTTTTGGAAACAAAATACTTGGAAAATTCTTTTATGTGGAACACTTCATGCTGTTTGAATAAAGAATTACTATAGTGAGAAACAGAATATGATGGCTAGAGAGAGAAATGACAATATACAATTGTTGCTTGACATATATTAATATACTTATTTGTTTTTTTGACAGATTGTTTAATGAACAATAGTGAAGAATTATCAAATAGCACCGTATACTTCCTCAGTCTATTTAATCACACCTTGACCTGCTTTGAGCATAATCTTCAGGTATTTTGTATATGATACTTATTAAATTAAAATGCTGCTTCGTACAAATGAATAGTAAGTAATTCGAACTCTTATAGCATTAACTGTTGATATTTATACACACAATGTAGAAAAGTTAGTGGACCTGGATTTCTGCTAAGTTCTTCCATTACTAGCCCTTAGGTAAATCACTTGTTTTCTTTTTTGTCAGGTGGGGATAGGACAGTAAGATCTACCCGGCCTACCTTCAAGTATTTTGTAGTGAGGATCCAATGAGATAATGAGTATGAACACATTAACTGAGTCATGTGATTATTTAATTAAAACACAGTGTTATTCTGACAGTAATTTACCTTGACTTTGCTTATACAATAAGGTATTTTGAATGCTGTATGATTCTGACTGTGTACAGGAAGCTTATTCTTTGCATCAGTATTTGCTTAAATTTATTTTACCTCCTTTAAAAGTCACTGTTTAGTGAGATAACTTTGAGTATTGAATTATAATATAAAAGGTAGCCTTTAAAAAACATACCTTACTGATTTTTGTTTTCTCCACCTCTAATTCTTGAATGTTTGGCATTGGAACTTTCCTAGTGATAGTGAAGGGAGAGATTGGGACTCTGGTTAAAAATCATAGTTTTGAAATTTGCTTAACAAGTAAGTAATGTCCCAAAATAGATGTCAACATGTAAATATAACTCAGGATATATGTATGTATGATTTCCTCTCCAATACCACAACTGGAATTCTGATAATGCAGAATTATGAATTTCTCTGAGAATAATAAAAGCTATTAGATGAATGTTTCCCAAAATATATTCTGCGAGATATTGATAGATGGCCCATAAAAAAAGGTTTAGTGTTAACAAGGTTGGGAAATGCTTTACTACAGGATTTCAGAATTTTAGTGGACTTCCATATGTTGTAAAACTCCAAATGATAATTTTTATGTACAGTGTTTACCAAACCTATTTCACAAGGAGCTATTTGGTTTAAGAGATTAATATTCATTTTAGGGAAATTAGCATTTTTCTTGGGATGTTAGTTGCAAATATTTTTTTCCTAGTTTGTGGTTTGTCTTGTGCTTTTTTTTTATGAAGAAAAATTTAATTTTTATGTTAGATTTATCAATTTTTTCAATAGCTTGAGGATTCTGTGTCACATTAGAAGGCCTTTTCCCACTTTATTTTTTTTGTTGTACTGTTATGATTTTTATTGCTATGTTAAAATACATGTGCATTTCAAACTTTAATATAAATGGCTAAATTACACTCCCTCATCAAGGTTCTGTGCTCATTTTTGTTTGAACATATTTAGCTGAATGCAGAATTGTTCTGTGAGAAAAAAGCAATGGGCTATATCTTGTGGCAAAACTGAAGGGACACTTAGTTTCTCTGTCAAATAGGTGATGAGGGTTACATTGTAGGGGCTACATTGGTTTAATTCCTTTAATTTTTCCATTCTCTTTCATTCTGATGCTCAGTTAATAGAATTTCTTTAGGGTACAAGATAAAGAATAAAGTGGATAGAAAGCAAAGGTGTGAACTGACTCTTCAGAAAACTTGTTTTTGAAAAGATAAGTGTCAGTCCTGGAAGTGGAAAAGACAGATTTGCTAACGTAATATTTTATGTTATATTCATTACCTTCATTTTAGGTTACACTGTTCTTTGGTATTAGTCCCTTTTTGCTGACTAGAAAGGCCTGGATTACAAGCCTTGGTGTTAGAGGGTTGGGTGGGGGTACAGTTGTAGTGCCTTTTCCTTTCCCTTTAATAAAGTCCTCTCTGTCTCAGTAAGGTTGACTTCAGTATTGAAATCAGCACAGGAAAGGGCATATTTTATTTATTTGGTGAAAGGAGGATAGATGAGAGCAGATATATAAATGACAAGATAATTTAGGAAATTTTCAGTGTTTAGGTATCAGTAATTTGGCATATGAGCTAGTGTTATCACTTAACAGTGGCTAGTACAGTGGTTTTCAAAATTTAGAGGCAACTAGAAAGTGCCAAATATTTTGCTATGTGCTTTATGCACCAGGATTCTAATCTTTGGGACCTGTAATACAAGTAGAGGTAGCCCTATTTTCTAGATGATGAAATTGAGGCTCAGAGTGATTTAGTAACTTGCCAAGTATCACAGCTCAGCACTTTAATATGATGTATTGCTTACTGTCCTCTAGGAAGGCAAATAGCTTACATTAAAGAGATGTAATGTTTATTGTGTGTATTACATATGCCTTTGACGTTTTAGGGGAGCATACACAGTCTTCTACAATTAAGAAATTATTCAGAAGTATGCAAAAACTGTCGTGAAGCGTATAAAACTTTGAGTAGTCTGTACAGTGAAATGCAAAAAATGAATGAACGTGAGAATAAGGCTGAACCTGGAACACATTTATGCATTGATGTGGAAGATGCAGTAAGTACTATGCTTCTGATATGATATGTATTTTGCAGTGTTGTTGAATGTGCCTTCAGTATTATTATCCCTTTCAGAGGTATATTGGAATCTGAAAATGCTGTCTTCAACCAGAAATAGCTAGTTATAAAGTAGTAAGGTTTTAGACGATCCTTATGTGTCAAACTAAAATGGAAACTAATCAGGTACTTCATAAGCGAGTTGATAATTTGGTATATTTTGCTTTTTTTAAGTTTGATAATGCGTGTCATTTTCTGAGATGTGGGCATTATATGTTTACATTTCAATTTCTTATACGTATGTTGCTAATTCAAGAATTCTCTAGGTTTTGCTACCATGTGTTTCTGAAGCCATTTCTCAATTACTTTCCATCTCATTGCTTTGTTTATATCTTTAATCTATTGCTATCTGAAATTTTTTATTTGTTTACTTATTTGTAGTCTGTCTCTCCTAAAATATAAGCCACATAAGGACAAGGACTTCATGTCCTTTTTTGTTCAGTATTCAGTATTTAGAACACTGCTTGTCATATAGCAGGCCCTTTAATATGTGAATTAATTGCGTGGTCAACAAAAAAGCTTTTTTCTCCACTGTGTAGCCTGCCTTTACATGGGGTACCACGAGATGGCGATCATGCCTTTTTATGAGAATATGGTGCCTGAGTATTAAGGAAAAGGAGAAATTATTAGGTAGAAGTAGAGAACTCAAGGTCAAAATTGATAAAAATTAATGTTTGAGAAGGATGAGTTTGAATTATCAGAGCAGCTCAGAGTGGACTGTAGTAGACCAATAATATTCAGGATAGCAAAAAACACTTAAAATAGATGCTCCGTGGGATTTTTGTTTTTTACTGCTTTATTTCTAATGTCTAGAATCTAAGTACTTGGCTTCTAGTAGGCTCTCAATAAATAATAAATATATATTTTTAAAGTACCAGTCTATTTCATCGTTTTTAAAATAAAGAAGAAAAATGAATATTGGTGCTATGACAGAAATGGAATTACACAGAAAATCAACATGGCCACCTATTTTAGACAATTCTTACAATAAGAAAAACTTAAATATACAGTGCACCATTTGTAAAGCATATCTCAAACAAAATCTACGCAAGAAAAGTTTTCTACATTAAATTTTATAGTTTCCTTATTCCTTAGCCTGTTTTACAAAAACCAGGAACTCAAAGTACTGCTGCCCTTAAATGTATGTTTTTATTGTATCTAAATGTATCTGAAAAATAAGGTTATTAATATTGTCTAATAAAGTTTCCATGACTAATTAGGTATTATGTGCTTAAAAATTATTTGCCATGAGTATGGATCTTACATAATATCTCAGATATTAAGCATTTCATAGAGAAGCCTTATAAAGTTGATATTGTTATTTTTATTCTAAAAATATTGCAACAAGCTCAGAGATTACATATATAGCATATGAAAAAATATTTTGTTTTCGTGAGCCTTTTCCCCCCAGTTTATTGAGATATAATTGAAAAATAAAATTGTAATATATTTAAAGTGTATAATGTGATGATCTGATATACATATACATTGTGAAAGGATTTCCACAGTTGAGTTAATTAATCCATCACCTCACATAGTTACCCTTTTAAATCTTTTTTAATGAACGAAGCATGGTCTGACTATATTCCTATTGATATAAGTTTTCTGTTTGAAGTCTATGAAAAGTTGATGTTCTTTGGACAATATTAAGAATTTAGAATATGAAATTTCCGTATGGATATAAATTTAAACAATGAGTAATTGTGAACCAGCTTATTTCTCTGGCAGAAGTAATTTTTCTCAACTGTCAATAGATTTTTTTTTTTAGGGATATATATTTAGCCTAAATGGTGTGTGCTTGTTAAGTTATTAACAAAATAATTATGAAATTGAAGACAAATATAAAACAAAGTAACATTATTTGTTATTGTTCTAGATGAACATTACGCGAAAACTTTGGAGTCGAACTTTCAACTGTTCAGTCCCTTGTAGTGACACCGTGCCTGTAATTGCCGTTTCTGTGTTCATTCTTTTTCTGCCTGTTGTCTTCTACCTTAGTAGCTTTCTTCACTCGGAGCAAAAGAAACGCAAACTCATTCTACGTAAGTTTCTTTATATAATTGTTTATTTAGATAAAAACCTGTATTTTAAAATTTTAGTCCTCTTTTAGAAATTTAGTTCTGTGTTATACTTTGACAACTCCAACTATATTAGCCTAAAAGAGCTCTCTGCTTCAAATATTACAATTATGCTTAAGAAGTTTACATTAGATGTATAAGAAGTTTGTAAGTGCAGATAATCGAAGGTCAACTTACAGCATCTTTCAGATGCTTTAATTGAGAGATTAAAATGGATTCCCTGGAATAAGGCTGTCGACAGCGGAAGAACAGCAACAAAGACTTTGCAGACCTGCAGCGGCCACAGTAGGGACATAGAGACAGCTCTTAGGAAGGCCCATTAGAGCCATGGCAGAACCACCTAAAAATGTGGCAGGCAAGGAGAAACCATAGCTTACACATTTTATTTATGAGCAAATTGAAATTGCGTTACAAGAACATTACTCAACGTATAGCATGTGCTCAATACATATTAGTTGCTTTACCACATAGGGCAGAGCAGAAAAAGCACTAATTAGAAGATTCCATCTAGCTAAGGAAGAGTGGCTTCTAAGTCTTAAGGGTTTCTTGTTTATTATCAAAACGAAAGTATGGGCTTTTTAGGAATTTTAGTCTTTAAAAAAGAAAATGTCTTTTGAAAAAAAAGTTAGGCTTTTTGTCGTTGTTGTTGTTTGTTTGTTTGTTTTGGCTCAAATATTATTCCTAGTCTAGAAACCCATGATATAAAAACTCTTGCACTTATATATATATTTCTTTCTAGCACTTCTTCATGGTTTATCTAACTTTGTTTCTAATATATGTAACAACAAAAAAAGGTTACTTGTAGATCAGTTTAAGCGGCATTTGTAATGTCTTATCACCTTAAAAAACTAGTTACTGGAGAGGAGAGCTTTTATCTTAGGTGTATGTAGTAAAGCTTTTCGAAGATTGCCAGCATTCTGTAAATATGTAATAGCTCAGTCCTAAAAGCACTTATTTTGAATAATAGCAAATATTGCAGGGAACTCACTGTCAAGAAACTTTATGTTTCAGGGCTTGTTTAAAGTTTACCATCTTATTTGCCTTGCACATCGATTTAACTCTACAAAGATATTTCCTGCTTCTGGTCAGGGTTTTTGTTTGTTCTCACAGTAAAAATCACCACCATCTGTCTGCTTGTAAAACCACAGACCTTATTCCCTTTTAATTTCTTAATTATTTTTTTCATTTCCCCATTCCCACATTCCCTTCCCCACCCCTTTTCAGTTCATCCACAAGTACTAAATGTCTTTTTTCTCCCTGCAACGGTAATACCCTAGTCCAGGCCATCATTGTCTCTTATCTGCACTAATGCAGAAGTCTCTTAACGGGTATCTCTGTTTTCATTTCTTGACCCATCATAATCCATTCTCCATATAGTGCCTAGAGTACTTTTTTAAACACAAATTTTACTATACTCCTCTCCTACTTGACCCTTCATGTGTCCTTATTGCACCTGGAATAAAATCCAAACTTATTTTTAGGGTTTGCTCTCTAAGCTATGTGTGACCTGGCTCCCACCTACCTTTCTAAACTATTGCCTTTACTCCTCTCCTTGCTTACGAGCCCGTATGTAGACAGTCTGGCCTTTCTGTGCCTCTCAAATACCGAGCTCATTCACACTTCCCTTTTCCAAAGCTCTTGTACTTGCCTTCCCCACTTTCCTTGACTAGCACCTTGTCATCCAGGTCTTAGGTCAAAGGTTACTTACTCAGAGACTCATTTATTTTCTACCTTATTTGTCTCCCTGGCTCAACTGTAAGCTCCATCAGAACAAGGATTTTGTCTTGTTCACCACTCTATCAACATCTAGAAAGTATCTGGCCCATAGGAAGAGCTCAGAAATATTTGTTAACTGAAAATATATCGTTAGCATTTCCTAGAGTATGTTTCTGAAAATACTAGTCCTATAAATTATTTTTATGAGCTTCATAATGTAGCTGAATATAAATTAAAGACTGAGATTACATTCCCAAAACTTGACAGTAGAACTTTTGCATAATACCTATTAATGTTTCAATAGAAGCATTGTTTCTGAATTAAATTATGAATATAAGGAAATGCTAGTGTAAGCAAACACTTCTTGTGTTGTTATCTTATGGACATTTTTATTTTCTTTATGCTGCCATTTTATATGCCTCCATTCATCAAGTCCTATGGTAGGAATTAGGGATAAAAAAAGAAACAAGGCACAATACAGAAAGTCCTTGAATAACATCATTTCATTATAACATCAGTGAGATGCTGTTAATGAGATGCCATTGGAAGTCAACTCTTGTTTATGTCAATTAATCTATGGTAAAATTGGTTTTGTTATATGTTGTTTCTCTTAAAGTCACAGAACCTGTGGATGATGTTAAGTGAGGACTTACTATATTATATGTCCCCTCAAAGAACACACGGACCTAACCCAATTATTACAACAAGTGTAGTAGAGATATATCCTGTGTGGTTGGACCACAGAAAAGAATAAGACTAACTCTGCATTATGGGTATCGGAATTCACCATTAGATAATCCCTACGGTAAAATTTTGAAGGATGTAGGGATTTATCAGAAAATAAGGAAGCAAGGAAGTTGAAGGTATAAATACTTATTGGTATTGCTGGTTAGTTTAATAAAGTTGGTAATTAGTAAGAAACCAGATTACTTTAGTAATTTTAAGCACGTAATTGGGAAAAAAAACTTTTGATTTAGTTTGCCTCCCAGATCCACTGAAGGCTTAAGAAGCAGACTTTTAGCTTAGGCTTTTTCTTAGTTTAGGCTGAAGCAATACAGTAGTCTAGGAAGTCATGTTGTTATCTAGCACTTAAGCAGAGGTCACGGGAGACCCAGATAGAAACTAGAACAGTGGCTCTCATCCTTGACCATATATCAGAGTTGTCTGCAGATTTAAAACAAAGAATAACAAAAACTGAGATGTATGGGTCCCAATGCAGATCTTCTAAATCATAACCTCTACTTTAGTGTTGAGAGCCTCTGAAGTAGGGAGATTCCTACTTATCCAATGTAGGGTACTTTCCCCATGGCACGATTGTTTTTAATTTCTGGAATATGAGAAACATCCATGTTTAACTGTAAGTATAAAATATTACCAAGCCAAATAGCTATATTTTTTTTATTAACCCTGATGACTCAGTCCCATTAGCATCTTACTCAAAATTGATTGTACATATTTTATTAGCAGCCATATTATGTTCGTGTATATATTTGTATGTGTGCATGTAATATACAACTCACTTTTCTTTGTAATCCAAAATGTATAT